TAATTCTTATAAATCTAGAATCAAAAAGCTTCACAACTGCTCTTTCGAATGCCACCGAAAGTGTAAGGAACCAAAATTTGAGGTCAGCTTTCACCTTCCATACCAGGCAGTTAGTATGCAGGACATTTTAGAGAATTCTAGGATCTTTTGAAAACCAAAGTTCGCTTGGCAGGCTACCTGCTAATGCGATTTCTATGCAGCAGTAGGTTTGCCAAAGGCATTCTTTTGGAGACGGGTTTAGCAAATAAAAATGCTTCCCTTAGCATAAATCGTAATTTCGTTTAACATATGAAAGTACCATAGTTTTAGTAAAGTACCATAGTAGTCACTTAGAAAATTCATGAATTTTTTAAATTTTTTTAAAGATGAAAGGTGAAAATTTGATTTCCTTCGTAAAAGGAAGTAATCTGAAGTGTCTGTTAACGCTCCTGCAATGCTATATAGCGGATTTGTTATTCATTGAAGGCAATTTAATAAGTCCCAAGAATAACGCCTCAGTTTCCGATTAAAGCAATTCGCATTGTTTGTATGCAGCATGCAAGCAGCAATGATTTCCTTATAGTTTTTAATTAATAATAATTTCAATAAGCAACACAGTAAGCAACCCTAGCGCAGATAACCATTTCAAATTCCTGTAATCACTTGCGCCTCGGAAGGTCTTGTCACAACTGGCAACATAACTCCCAAAAGCAACCAACCACTTTCAAGGCTATTAATATTTTTGTCTTTCTAGAATTTCCTTTGTACAGGCTGAATATGGTTTGTAAGCCCACACTCTAGCAGATGCTGCAGTACCAGCTTATCATTGAAGAGGAACATAAATCTTCGAATTAATCAGCGGCAGACTTAAACGAAGTGTCAAAACAAAGAGCGACACGGCAAATTAGCCGAGTCACGTTATTACATTTCATTGTCTTGCGTAAATCAAACCCCTCTTCGTTCTGTGAGTGGCGGAGGCGCTCAGAAAGTAAGCCAAGTGATGGCAATTGCCAGCAGCAACCGCTCGCTAAGAAGGCCTCCCCTCATTCATTCGAGGGCTACCTGCCAGTAAGCTCATGAAACGGCTGTTGCAACCCAAATATAATCTCTCTTGTAATTTCACCTTCTTGCTCACAAATGCCTTTTTATTTGACATTTATCCTATGATTCGGCATTTGCCGCTTGAAGTAGAACTATTTTCT